ATCTGTCGTGGTGGAGGACGGAGTGAGTGTGGTGTTGAATTAAGATTCAATCTATCTGTTTTGTTTTGTTTGTCCGTCTGTTTGTCTTTGAACGATGATTTTTTTGTTCGCCAATCAGTTTTTGCAGAAATAGAGCCTAACTTCCGGGGGAAGGAGGGGGGTAGCAAAGAGACATAGACTGTAAGCAAGGAAAAGACATAGGCTAACGGAAAGTGTTCTTATGTTTACCAGGACTTAACAGATGACGAACAACAGAAGATCGCTGCTGAGATGAACCTGTCTGAAACGGCCTTCCTCCGCAAACTCAGCCACAAGGACGACTTTTCTACAGGTACAATCTTGGTTTTCTACCCAACAGGTGATTTGCCTCTCACAGTGGCCTCGATATTATGTATTGTTCTTAGCGTTCTTTATCCCTAACTCAACCGTTCTACTCTGCTATCGTGTTTAGGTTCGAAGTTCGGCCTGAGGTGGTTCACTCCCACCAAGGAAATTGACTTGTGCGGCCACGCCACCCTCGCCTCGGCCGCTAGTCTCTTCTACATCATGGGTAAAAAACTAGATCCTATCTTATTACTTACATGTACTTTCTAGTACATATATACAGAAGTATTGTTTTTGGTGGCTCACTTTGTGTATTGTGTCAACGTTTGGTGAGACTTTAGGGGAGTCGTTTACTGGCCGAGGGCGTCAGTGGGATGTATAATGAGTGTACTGGGCATGGGACGAAATGCTAGCTCGAGATGAACTTGAAGGTCAAATTTAAAGAATCTAGTCAGGATCCATACAGTCATACTGATGGTAGAATCTCCTCAGACTGGGCTGTTCCCTGAATTCAGGAAAACCGAAACTTCTTGTCCTCTATTCGTTAGTTTCAGCTGTAAGAAGTATATTCTAAACAAGATGCTTCAAAATTCTTCACGCTTCGTTGTCGTGAAATAGACAAACAAACGAAAAAACAAACATACAAACAAACAAACTCTTCTAACCTTTCCCAGACAACCCCAGCCCGAAGCTGACGTTCGTGACCCGGAGCGGAGAGCTGTTTGCTGAGAGACAGGGCGAGTACATCTCACTGGACCTGCCGGAAAACGTCCCCAAACCACAGGTACAAACTCATTACACATTCACTAATGTAATTATAACGTTACACGTATACCTACATATAAACACACGATTTCAAAACAAATGTTACGACATACAATAGTTACGTTATGTTGAGAGAGAGAATCGAGGATACCGAGAGAAACAAAGAAGTCAGAAAAAGTGCCACAATATCATACACAAACATATATTATTACACTGTTGTGCACCACATTACGTCAACAACAATTGACATCGGTCACCGAAACCAATCAATAGCAAAGGACGCGAACCGACAACGTCGAATTTATGCATTGCTAACAAACATGTATTTCTTTTTTTAAACATCTTAGCCAATACAAAAAGTGTTGCTTTGTTGTTTTCTTTGTGCGCCTACATGGCAGCCATGCCTTGAACGTGTTTTCCGTGGTAGTATGTATGTTTGTTTTCTGCTCCAGGACAGACAAGCTTATAGTCGGCTGCTACAGGTGAATACAGACACCCCACCCCCCACTCTTCCAAGCAACTACCTGGTCAAATCTTCAGCAGACTTTTGTATCATTTCTAACATCTCTCCATGTGCACCCTTAGATAAGTTTTAAGTTGCTTTTGTGAACTGTAAGTACATGGTTGCGTTTTTTTAATTAGCGATGGTTGACCTACCAGCTTGCATGGTTGGTCTACCTGAATGTCATGTCATAATCAGTCATTGACTTTTCTTTTCTTGTTGCCTTTGCTGTTGTACAATATAGGCTATTGTAGGCACGACTCCTGTCCAGGACGTCCGGTACTGCAGTTCGGTGGGTGGGGACCTGTTGGTCAGACTGTCAGACGACACAACAAGGTTTGAGCCACAGTTTTTGTTTTCGAATGGAAAAATATGTTCCATAGATGACTACATCGCCCCACACTATATTGTGATGATGTAGCAAAAGAAGTGCTTCAAAATTGCCACATTTCAAATGTTCCAAATAGTTTAATGTATCTTGTTACACCCAGGGCTACGTTGGAGAGCCTGAAGCCTGACTTGGGAGCCATGATGGCAGCTCACACAGAGGGCAAACTCAGGGGAGTGGCGGTCACCGTCAAAGGTAACGTCAGGATATGTCACCTAGATATCTTACATATCTTCCTGTAGTGTTTTTGTTAACATCGACTACGACCAACCTCTGCGGCAGTGTAGTTGTGCTCGCCAGTTCTAGCAATTTGAGGAAACTCATTGCCTTATAAAATGTCTGGCAAGGAACGGAGAAGAGAAACAAGTAAATGAGAACTCAAGAGACTCTCACGAGTTTCTTGAAGATATGTTCTCAAACATAGTACAGTTAAAAGCTTCTTGAAAATCTTTATCATGTATAACAATAATGTATAGGTGACTGGCATACAAAACGATTTGTGCATCGCAAAAATATGTGCTACGTGCTACAAATTCTATCATCAGGATATAGTACAGTTAAAAGCTTCTTGAAGACCGACTTAATGGCAAGTAAAAAAAATGTATTTTACAAGGATTAATGCATACGTTCTGGCATACAAAACGATTTGGAGCATCAGAAAAATATGTGCTATAAATTCCTATCTCCAGGAAGCCCGTCTAACGGGTGCACAGATGCCCGGGGAGTCGGGTATGACTTCATCTCCCGGTTCTTCTCGCCCTGGTACGGCGTGCCTGAGGACCCGGTCTGCGGGTCTGCGCACACCGTCCTCGCCAGCTACTGGGCAAAGGAACTCGGCCAGACGGACTTCTACGGTGAGGCACAGTTACTTTACAATACTGGAAAGGTAACATTTGCAAAGAGCCCAACAAATTACTTCTCTGCTTATTCGTACTTAAACATATTCATACACAAATATGGTGACCAGCCCCTCCAGCTTCTTCTACAAAATGTAATCTAACACCACGGAGTGTCTACTACAGTACCAGCAAAAATAATATGTTTCCTTCTGCGAAGGTAAACATGAAGATATGTCGTACCTTATTAAACGTAGTGGTGAACGGATCTGTCCTTGGTGCTGATCATGCTCCATGCGAACACAAATAGTGTCTGGTAACACAGCACCAAATGTATGTCTCTCTGTCTAGTTACGCATTTATTTGTTTGTTTGTTTGTTTGTTTGCAGTCCGCCAGTGCTCTCCTAGAGGAGGAGACTTGAAGGTCCGGCTGAGAGAAGACGGGAGGGTGGAGGTGGCGGGGAAGGCGACTGTCGTCTTTAAGGGGGAGATCAAGATCTAAAGCATGTCTTCAGAGATGTCGAAATAATTTACTAGTGGTATAGTAAATTTTTGAAAAAGTCGGGTAATGATTACTATGACTTGACTTTTATTTACTAACATTGTAAATTTTGTAAACAACACTGGACAATGGTAAATGAGAGTCAAGTAATTTCATTACCGATTTTAGTCTGGTACGTTGCTGTTTACAAAGCAAACATAAAATCGACTTAACTGGCCTTCACTACCATTGGCAAATCAAAAGTTGGATAAGTGTATGGTTGAAATTTCACACATTTGTGGAAGGATATTGACATAACAGGTGACTGTTGAGAAGGTATTTTTGATGTATGTTATCCATGACAGCTAATTATCGGCCACAGGGTAAACAAGTCTGCTGGGAAATAGGTTTGAGCTTTGGCGCTCACATCTGTTGCATGCACAGAATGCATGCAGTGCAGACTGGATTGTCTTTGATGAATGTATAATAACTTGCCTTAGGCAAATGTTATGAAGGGGAGCTTCATAATATGTAAATTATATCAGAGTGAAGTTGCTTGTGGCAAATGAATTTGCAGGCAAGTTTATTCAGTGAAGCAGGTCGATAATATCAAAATAAAGATTTGGTGAACAATGTTGTGTGCACACCCTGGATTGATTAGTTAATTAGTTAAAAATATTTTTATTGTATTGTTAATAGCACATAAGTTGAATAATTTGAACAAACAACCTACAGCCTCAATGGTTTTGCCCTGTTTTAGTGGGCGGTACCGAAGGGTACAATTATTACGTCATACTACATGCACATACAGATCTATCCGCCGCCATGTTACAAGAAGGTTGTTTAGAAATGGGAGGAGCTTTTAAAATGCAGCTCTATTTCAGTGATTTGAGCAAGTAGCGAAACGTTTTGATATGTTACAACTTGGATTTTCACTTGAGACAGACAAGTGTGAGCTTCGCGACATGAAAAGTAGTCCGGCAGCAGGATATTGATATCAAGGTGCGCAAAGGCTCTGCCATTGTTGGAAGAAGCCAACTCGAAGCCAAGGTGTGTAGTTTTAAACTCATAAAAAAGCAGATAAAGAATCTAATATTCATAGCAAATGTCATTCAATCGATAATAGAATTCCAGTAGTTCAAACTAGTCTGATGAAAGGGGAACAGATCATCGAAAAGCTTAGTTTTTATGGGTCCATTCCCTCTTCCCAAATGGTTTGACCCAGTCTGACCAGTCCGACGGAAGACGATCGATTGTAGCAGGAACTTGGCTACGTTTCTTCCAAAACAGGAGGCGAATTCTCGCATTTTTAACTAGTTTTACGTTATCAAGATGTCGGGAAGGTATCTCTGTCTTGCCCTGGCTGTTTTCCTGGCCTTATTTTGCGCCGTAACCGCCCAGACGACGACACCGAAGCCAGAACTCGGTAAGTCATAAATGTTTTGCGATCGTAAAAATCACGAACCAAAAATTATGTCGTTATTCATATGTTTTTTGCGAGGAACTGTTGTTCTAAAGGTTTGAGAAAGAGACTTTTTTGTTTTAGGGTGTAAATTACTTCTTGTAGTAGCAACAGATGCCTGTGGATCGACAGAATCAGTGAAAAGATTTTGTAAGGCGCGAATTGGGGGAGGGGGAAGTGACGTTTGTGTCGTATGACATTTTGTGTTGACAGTATTCTTTGTTCCTCAGGGGCGAATTTCCGTCTCAAATTTCCACTCAGACTTGTCTAACCCTCACCCGTATCCTGTACGGTGTTTGAGTTGTGTTTAGAATACAGTACAATTCCTAGGAAGCCCGGAAAAATTGGTGTATTTGGGGTGTAAATATTGACTTTCTTGTTTATGGTCAGGGTGGCACACACACACCACATCACATGACCATTTACAATGTACACAATCGTACATGCAGACTCATTATATTGCAATCGCATCTGGGCATTTTTCCTTACAGACTGCGTGCCTTTAATTAAAACTATCAGAAAAAAAATCCAACAAAAACAACAAAATTGTTTGAAATTTAGGTAGGGTGGTTACAAAATTTATGATATAAGTTATAACATGTAAAATGTTGTTAAAACTTATTAATTAAGGAAAAAAGTTGCTATTTTTTCATTCAACTTTTATCGACATGCTGGCCAGCGACTGTTTTGGAACCCTAGACACTAGACCTTGGCTGAAATTGCTGGACTGCCAAACAAACAGTGAAGACCAGACTTCACAAACACGTTAATGGATTTGACTTGCTGTTTCCTGTTGATTCTATACAACATAACCCGCCATGAAAGGTCAACGAGAAATTTGAGCTGGGCGGTAATGTTGGTTCCTTTCCTGAATGCATTAGCTTTCCAGACAGGGTTATTTTCATACATTGGCTCAACTGTGAAAGTTGTCCTAGATGGCTAAATACTGTATTTGTTTGATATCCACTCGTTGTAGTTTTTGAAAGCTGGTTGAAGGAAACCTGTTCCCAGACTGTAATTGGGGTTGTTGGAGGGTTACAGCAAGAGGAAGAAACTATGTAGCCAGTGTGTACAAAGGCTTCCCATTGGTTAGAATAACATTTAGCACTTTGGTACTAATAGGAAGTTATGAGAAAGATAACATTTGCCAGTGTTTTCTTACAGTACTGGGGAATTAGTACTACTAGTATGTATTTCAGTACTTATTGCAATTGCAGATGCAAATGTATGATTAAATGCCCACCAACAAAAACATAGTACATCAAGTACATAAGTTAAAGTTGTAGCCCACCATCAAATTTATTTGTTTTTGATAATAATATTTTATTCTTTGCCTTTTCAGACTGCAGTGAGAGGAACTCTTCATGTGATGAATGCATCAAAAATGTCAAGGTGGGTCTCAACTCAACTCAACAGAAGATCTGACAATCAGTTTTCTTGGTTGTCTGTTCTTCTCTGTTGGTGCACATGGTGCACATGGGTAGGCATGTGTTATTAATGTGTCTGTTAAGTAACAGGTCAGGATACTACTGTAGATCATCTAAAGTTTGCAGAGGTGTAATTCTTCAGTTGGAGCAGACAGACTTGGTGGTCATGGTTGAAAGTTATCATACTATTCATATCATAGTACATGTAACACAATGAAAAACACCGTGCATGTAACTTTTCACAATGGAGGATACACTACATATTAGGAAACACTGTAAATATTCTACAATTTACAGTTAATTACACAACAATTTAAACTTAATTATAGGATTCCAAAATGTATGGCAGACCATGCACAGCATAGGTAAATCCTGAATATTGAAAGTAATAATATCTAAGGCTTATCATGTACGTTGGTAGCTACATATAAGCTACCCAACCTGCAATGTTTTGTAAAATAAGAGGCATCAAGAAGCAGTTTTAAGTGTTACAAGGCTTTTCTAAAGGTTAAGAGGTGTGTAGGCCTGAGGCTAGGTGGTGCTGCCTGGCTTCTGGTGCCCGGATTGTTGATGTTTAATGTACTGTACAAACCTGTAGGGCCTTAGTACAGACAGTAACTGTATTGACGTCATCAGTGCCCTGTAGTGCAGTGGATATCCAAGACAGAACTGGAGTGTGGTTATACCACTACCAGTATATTACATGTATATAGCATGACAAGAGCTGCCAGTACTGTTTCTATCAGTTTAGTACAGGTTGTAGTCTGTGTAGCCTGTGAAGTCTGTCTCTTTGAAAGACACTGACTTCATCAAGAATACAGACAACCATATTGAATTGAACTGTTTGGCAATTACATGTATTACATTTATAACACAGTTATTCTGTAATTTGTATAGGCACTGTAATCTCCTTTTGGCATAACACACCAGCTGCAGGCACAGGGAGTGGTGGATGTTGTTTATTATTCATTATTTATTGTTGTTGTTTTTCCCTGTTTAGTGTTACTACTGTTACCAGGACAACTCGTGCCGCCTGTACCCGGCTGAGAAGATCCTCCCTCGTGACTGTGCCCTGTCTAAGGCTCGCTGGGGGATCAGCTGTGCTAGTATGTCACACCAACTTCTTCTAACAAGAAATCAGACAGCTTTTTCGTGTGTATTGGAACTGTGGAGGAGATTGTATGATGTAATTTAATTGGGTATCACAACACTTCCTGAGCTCCTCCACATACTACCCACTTACTCCCCAAAGTGTGCTGGGTCACCTTCAGGCTTAGAAGTCTTGAGAGTGAGACCCAACACAATAGTTCCATACTCGTAAGTAAAGATGTCAGTAAGTAAAGTGTCATTTTCATAACAAGGGAATTCGCTACTACATGTACTGGAAGGCTCAAAATTGAACATTTAACCATCATCTATGTAAAACCTACCCACATACCAAATATTGTTGCAATCCTAATAGTAATAGGTAACCTCTTGAGTTATGCTTACCAAAGGATGACTGGAAATACAAATCAAAAATGAAAATGTGTAACCCCTGTATGTGTGTTTTATTCCCAGTTAACTTTGAGGCCTTGATCATTGCAATGTGAGTGGTGGGAGGAGTCATCCTGATCTCCTATGTGTAGCTGTAGCTGATTAACTCTCACAAGACGTAGGACTGTCTTAAGAAATGTTTAAACAAGTGTTTGTTTTCCCCAGTTAACTTTGAGGCCTTGATCATCGCCATGTCAGTGGTGGGAGGAGTCATCCTGATCTCCTTCTTCTGCTGTATCTACTGCTGCTGCTGCAGGACTTCCTCCAAGAAGTACGCTGCTCACTCCTTTAGTTGCTTGTTTGTTTCTTTGTTCATGTGTTTCTTATCTGTATTTTGACTTCTGTAGTTGGACTGAAGTATTCATAGGGTATAGTACAGATGTATTACAAAGACTGAAAGAGATAGCTTAGTGGTAATGATGAGCACAACTAATATTAATAAAACGACATAACCTTCCTGTTATCTACAAGACTAAAAATTTGTATGTATGTACATGTATTTGTTATCTTGGATTCAAATTGATGAATTACAATGTAGACTATTATTCAGTTATCAAGACTGGCAGGAGAAAGCCTTGTTAATTTTGACTAGAAATCAGTCAACATTCCCTCCCCCAATGCTAGGTATATTTTCCTCCCCTAAAGCCACAATTCTGTACTTTGAAGATGATGTTTTGCAAACCCAAACTGCATGAAAATTTTGTCCCCGATCAAAAATCATCAAAACTGATACTTACTTTAGTACCCCATGATATCACTAACATACATTCAATAAAAAGAGTGAGAGTTCGTATGAAGCAAGTTTAAACTGTAATTAACAACACAAGAAATTGAACTTACACAAATTTTGCTTCAAAATGCCTTCTAAGTTCTAACAACACTGATGAACATTCAAGATCAAGCGAGAATTCTGTATGAAACATACACATGGATGTTCATGCTATTTTCTCCTTGCATATTGCTGTGTTGCTGCCTGCCTCTGCAGGGCACAGGAGAAGTAAGTTTTGGGGTCGGGGTGGTGATCTTTAGTGGAACTGTAAATTTATTTACTTTCCTGGTGGTTTTATTTCACGGTAGGAAGGAAAAAAAGACTTTCATGGTGTTTGAATTAAATTTGCTGTTGAAAACAATTCTTTAGTAAAAATCGTGAAGATAAAACCACTGCAAAAATTTTTACATGCAGTAACTGAACAAAGCTGATCCCCTCCCCACCATGTCCCTACAAGGCCAATACCATATCTTTACCCCCACTTCTCACTTTTGTGGTAGGAACCTGTTGCTAACTGAAACATGTACTGGTGTAGGAAGAAAATGCTAACTTCCCTCCCTCCCAAAAGGCAGCATATTCATATGAATTTACCCAAAAGTGTCATTTTATCTAGCATGATTGTGATGCCCACACATGTACACCTTTTCCTTTACAGTGATTACTGTGTGACTGAAAATATGACACCTCACTCAAGAAATTTCAAACTAACAATTTTTTTCCCTTTTTGTGTTTCTTGTTGTCTTTTAAATCATACGTGTATCATTAAGTGTAATTTATCACTTACGTCCACTCATAATTTTGTGATCAATTGTAAGAACTAGCTATTAAAATACCATAATGTCATGATGGCTAGTATTACTAGACACATGAAAAAAAGCCGCTCAGTTTAGGATGAGCATAAGAAATATGTTGTAAGCTTCAATTGCTACCTTGTCTAACTGCTTGTTGTTCTTTGTTCTTAAGATATGACAAGGAGGACGCTAAGATCGAGCGTGCACGTGAGGAGCGACGTCTGAAGCATGCCGAGAGGTGAGTCGTCTTAAAACTTAACCCTCACCCAGCTAAAGATACATTTTTTTATTGTTACAGCTGGATTCAGTTGGGTTAGGGTTATCTTTTGCTCTGCTAAGGGTGCATCCATGGATGGAATCTGTTTGCAAAAAGAAGGTTAAAGTTTTAGTTCAGGCTTCATAAAAAACAGGGCTGGCAGAGGGTTGCATGGATTGCTTTGAGAATTCTGAAAAAGAAACCGTTTTGGGTCATTGTTTGATTAATTGTTTTCCTTGGAGTTCTAACCTTCTAGAACAAGTTTCAGGGACAGTTTCAAATGGGATGTTTCAAAATAACATGGCTTACGTTTTGTGCTTATTTTCACTTGTAGGAGAGCCGAGCGTGACGCAAAGAACCAGGAGATTCGTATGAAATACGGTGAGTGGAAATTTACAGTAACACACTAGTCCTGCATGTACACATCTTACGTGGAATGAGTCTTCAGGGCTCAAAATTCTACCTGAACATACAGGTTAGTGCAGTTGAAATGGGAACTGAGCATGTATTTCTAATGTCCACCTGCACTTAGCCTACACTGGTCCATGTACTGGGTATATGCAGGTAAAATTGGAGCTGTGCATGTATTTCTGATTACCGGCACTGCATTGGTCCATGTACTGGGTTTATATTGATGTGTGTTGATTTTTATATACAGGAAAAAATGTATTTCAAGCCCTGCTCTTGCATTGTGATTTTTAAAACTAAATGCCAACGACTAAATACAGCACCTTTCTCAAATCCAGGCCTGGTGAAAGAGGACAACCCATACCACCGCTTTGACCAAAACTAGGGGAGCGCAGAACACTTGGACAAGATTCAAGAATTTGGACAACTTCAATGAGCTTCTTTACCATTCTCAAATTGTCTACATCTTCACATTCTTGTCAACTTGTCTTATGTTGGAAGGGTGGAAATGATGTTGAATTCTGTCTATGGCTATATCTTTCTTTGTTGTATACCTGAGCCATCGTTTTTCTTGTATACAGAACCCACCTTCCATAATCTGGCTCCAAGAAAGTCTGCACTGTACCTTTAAGTGTTATTCAACATGCACCTTAATAATAAAGCAGGATTGTTTTGTTACATTCAAAGATGAGGAATATAAATGATGAGTTTTGCATGGCTGTATCAGCTTTCTATAGTCAGAATTTTTATCCACAATGGTTGCAATTAGAGCAAGATTGTACATGTAGTGCCTTAGCTCAGTGAATATGGGAATAGGGTATGTTATTATACGGAATAACAGAGGACCAGAGAGTAACTATTAGCCTTGAAATATACAAAATGTAATTTATGTAAACCATTGTACATTTTGAAGAGGAAGGAAATTCTGTGCTTTCTATGTGTATTTCAACCTTACGTTAATTACATTTAGGAAGATTCTAAAATCGACTAAATTTGTCTTTTGAGGGGAACCAAAAATTAGTCAACACTGATAAAACATTTTTTTCATATCATGATGAAAAGAAAGACAGTAACATGATTTTAAGAAAATGGCAGGCATCTTAGCACACATATTTTGCAGCCTGCCTTGACTTACAATAACTTCTTAGCTTTTGCCGTTTACCCTCCTTTCATAAATTTGACCTAGGTTTAAGAACAAGTAAATATAATTCTACAGAAGTGGCTAGAAGTCACCATAATGAAGGTTATAGTTCAAAGGTTACAGGCCATACTCTGGTTAACTAAGATGTAATATTATAATGGTCTAAGGAACTTTCACAAGGGTAAAGGGGTCACTTCAAGGTCACCAACACTTAAGATCTATTATAGAGAACCTAATTCTAGTGACTGTTGTGATGTAACTCACATGCAAACTTGAACATCACTGAAGACATGACATTGTCTATATGATAACAGGGACCAGTAATGTATCACAGAATAGAGTGTCTATGATTGGTTAGATACCTCATCACATGACAAGTTGTAAGAACGCCTGCCATTGGTTAGGATTGCCTTGTTGTAAAGTGCAATTGAGCCAATCTTTGTCACTGTTACTCCAGCCTGTGTAATACTCTCATATACAGATTGTTCAATGCATTGGATACTACAACAACTAGAATAGGCTCAGGCTGAAAAGATTCTTATCAAATATTGATCCTTTGGCATTTAAAAATTACCAGTGATCAAATTTGGAAAAATTCTAAGACAAAGCAATCCACCACAAAGTTATTATGAATGTAAGATGGCATGATATAGAAGAAACATGTTCTTTCAAATGTGTACAGTGTTCAAGTGTGAAATTTCAGAAGTGGCTTTCCTGATTCAAAGACAAAGTGGGATCAGTGCTTCATCTATTTTTCTGCACTAAAAGAATGAGCCCTCCTTAATGTTGTGGAATTGTATTTTTGATAGGGGGACTTGCCATGTATGATGCTGCATGCATATCCAGATTCTAAAGCAAGTACAGGCATACAGTACATGTATATGCCATTTGTATTTTTCAAGGCTTGATATGACTCTAAACTTATCTACTATGAAATCAAAACAGCATACAAGTACATGTCATTTCAATTTTATTTAGCAGATCTTTTTTTCAACTTGTGGTTAATGAATCGTTCTAGAATTGTGATTCAAATGCGTTGAAAGGCAATGAACATTGCTACTTCTTTTGTTACTTGACTAGCTGTATTTAATTTAGACTGCCAAACTGTTAAAGTCTCATTCTACTAAATTTGACATTCTATCACAGAGATGTCTTTGTGTTAGGTTGTAATAATTCTTTGTGAAGCAAGAGGTCATTAAGGCGTAAATTTTATTGTGAGAACAGGTATTGCACTGGTAATTACAGCATTTACATGTGGTGTACATAATATGTCAATCAAGTAATATATGTGGATGGTCTCAAATGTGAGTCTGGTGTTTTTACTGTGTCGTAAAATTGATTTTACATAATTGAAATGGTCAATCATCCAGTTGATAGGCCATCGCGAGCAGAACCAACTTCTACAGGCTCTCGTTCTTCCCCCGCACCATCAGGGAATGGAATGAACTTGAGCCTGGTGCGGCGGAGGCGGGGTCTCTTGCCCAGTTCAAATCTGAACTGGCGAGGACCCTGCTGCATTGAGCCACCCCATCATGTCTTGTATATATGTAAATATTACTAACGCACTAATGCACTTGTCCCGTCTTTAGCACACACAAAATCAGTTGTCTTATGTTCCCTTCTCATTTATCCTTGTTTTACCTTTGTTTTTATGTACTGGGTCACAATTGTAACTAACAATGCGTAACGGCTGCCAATAATCCTACATGGTAGGGCTACGTAGGCAGTAACGGAGATGATGATACTAGTAGTAGCCCATGGTACTGGCTTCAAACAAGGTTCTGGCATTCGAACCCCTAATCTCAAACCTGTATTGACAGGATTTAAAGAAGAAATGATGGCAATGCTATTCATTGTGTAATGATGGTGACCTTTTGACTATTCGTTAGACTAAAGAAGATTCTTAATTGCTCATTGGGATTTGACAAGATTGTCAGACAATCAGGATGAAAAAGTTACACAACAGACAACACAGTTTACGTAATTTGAAGTCGTTGCGTAATACCACACCCCTATGTGCATAGTGTAATAGTCCAGCACAGCATACAAACGCAAATGACAGATTTTTTGTTGAATTATATTACGTATTTTAATCACTTATTTATGCTTAATTATAGTGTGTATTCTGAAATCTAAAATATTTCAATTTGATTTTGTATTTCAATAATAGTTTGATATTTCGCGTGAGGTCAGACTATCTAATTTTATTTCTTGACGATTTGTTGCGGCCAGTACTATAAATACCACGATTTCCGCATTGGTAGTCATTTTCGCGTTGCTGCGTTGGAGAAGGGGAGACTGCGCCACAGTTCTTGAAAATTCCGAGGAACACGGGTAAAATAAAAGCAGGAATGGCACGACTACCTACAACAGCCGGTAAGCAATACTTCGATGAAATGCTGTAGTAGAAATTTAGGTCGATATCTGGCGATCGGAGCCGCATGATAGCGACGACATTCGGTGACAAAGCGGCTAGTTTTGAGGGGGAGGGGGGCGTATGTGATGTGAGCACTTTTGGGAAGAAGATCAGGATGAATTAAGAATGTAGTTTAGGAGAAAAAGAAAAAAATTAAAGACGAGACTAACAACATACGTAGAAACACTTTTGCGGAATAGATTTTTTTTAATCAGCAACAATTAATTTATGCAATTCATGTTGTTCGCCCCTCTTCATTTTCTTAGTTACATAATTTTCAGGACAACGTGACTGTTTGCTTAGATGTTGAGCCTGTTCAACTTTGTTTGTGGGCCTCACATGACGAGAAATTATAACAACGATCACACAATGAACTTTTGGGGGCATGGGTGCATTATTTATAAAGTAAATTTGCATACGTATTGACAATGACAATGGTGAAAGATATAAGATGATCAGTGTTCCAGAATTTTGCAGCATAGATCAGATCTCAAGATTGAAGCATTTCCCACACGTTTACATGTGGCATAACAACTAGTTTCTATTGAAACCCTGTACACTCTATGCTGCATGTGATGTTTTGTTATATACTGACTTATCCTCCCATGTTTCTGTCCAGTTGCTCTGGTGGAATCAAACCCCCAACCCTCCGGTCTCCAGCTGGTCAGTTCCTACAAAACTAACCGGATGGGTGACCCCCACGATCTAGTGGAACTGGCCACCCAGGTGCAGAAGGTCAGAGGTCATTTTATTCATTCATTAATGAACTAGATCATTGGTAAATAGTACTACTAGTATAATAGTATAATAGTACTACTAGTAGTACTATTGGTCCAGTGCAAAATTAGATCTCAAAATCAAATGCTGATTGGCTGCATGTAATTCACAAAAAGTGTTTCGAGCCTTGTGTAATGTAAAATGTGTTCTTGTTCTCAGGCTGATGAGTTCACGCGAGCCAACGCGACCAACCGGCTCCAGACGATAGCGGAACAGATCAAGTTTCTACAGGAACAGGCGCGGAAGGTTCTGTTGGAGGCTAAGCGAGATGCGGAATTGCACCACGCGGCCTGTAACTTCAAAAAGATCCCAGGGAAACACTACTACCTGTACAAGAGACAGTCTGGACAGACATACTTCTCCATGCTCAGCCCTACGGTTAGAAAACTCTCTGTGTTTTAGGATTTGCTCCCGTATACTTTTGCTTGGGTTGGTTTGTTGTTTGGTTCATGGGTTGGACCATCTGTTGATTCCTTTAATATTCATCAGCACAATTGACATATTTCTGTCAACTGTGTACACATTAGCCTGGTTACCAAACCTATTATAGCTCCAGAGTCCTACATCCTCTCCGCAAATACTCAGGAGCTATAGTATATAGTATAATAGGTTTGGTAACCAGGCTAGTACACATTTCTTCCATGCCTCTCACCTTGTTGATCTCCCAAATCTGACACTTGGCAAATTAAATTGTTATCCCTTTGTTGTCATTCCCCTTTGAAGTAAAAGCTATTTGTATATACATTTTCTTACTATGACTATACATGTTACTGTATGTTGATTAATTTAGTAAGACTTCAAATACATAACCTGTATCTTGTTACATATTTAGTCTGACCCGACCTGTTCCCTCATGACCTCAATGAACAGTTGCCAGCAAACTGATTTGAATATTTCATGAATAAACAACTAAACAAACAAACTTGTGTTTTCCCACAGGAATGGGGCCCGACGTGTCCACACGAGTTCCTGGGCGCGTACAGACTGGAGTACGACATGTCGTGGACGCCGTCGGACAAGGTCAGGCAGCGCGACGAAGACCTGTCCGCCATCGACACGACCATCGACAGACTCCTGAATACGAAAGAAGCCATCACGTGGGCCGCTGAAACAACCAAGCCTGAAGACAAGGACTGATTGTAGTATAGACAAGGGACACTTTTATTTTAACCCCCGTGTACGCCTGTAATCTAAAAAAGATTTCGTTTTCTCTCACCAGTCAAATGGTCCTTGGACATGTATACATGTACATCTTACTACCATTGGCATATGTTTGTCTGTTTGCTTGTGTGTCTATAGTTATTTGAATGCAGTAGAGTTACTGGAGGTGATGGGGCAATGGTGTAACCGTAGACTGACAGGAAGGTCAAATTGTTAGCTGAAATGGTCTCTTGCACGGGCTACAAGGAAGTGACGGAATATGCACAAAATCAGCAAAAATTGATAAAACAAGAAATTCACAACTCTAAATACTTTGCAGTGTTGTAACTGCAACTGGTCAAGAAAGAGATCAGGTAGCATTGTAACAAATTAGGTAAAAGGGAGCATTATTTGGGGCTGTTTTGGTGTTATGGTCAACATTTTAGTTGCTTTGTTTCTATGAAACAGATGTAGGGTGTTCTTTCTATGCAAATTACCTACAAGTGTTAATATGCATATATAAATAAAGGCATCATCTATATTGCTCATCAGGTTTTTAAGGTAAGATAAAAATGCACAAACAAACATTTGTACCCAATGTAACATGCCAACACATTACCTGTGAAAAATTTGTCATACCAAAAGACAAAAGATTGCTCAGGTTACTGTAAAAAATGCTGTATATTGTAATTGCCTTTGCTCAATTGATGTACAGTAAATATTAAAAAAAACAATATCATGGTATGATACATAAAACATGAAAATCTCAGTTTCTAGCATTGTGTTTCTGTCTTGTTTTTGGTTTACACTATCAGACAGTAATGACAGGAGTGAGTTTCTTCTCACTTTGACAGCTGATGTCTGAGCCTCATGACTTGGTACAGAGTTAATGTTTGCTTGTCTTTTGAGCCCTTATGTAGGGATCGTCTCAATCTGGGGGCTACCGAACTTTGTACTCCGAACTTTGCACTCCGTACGTGTTTGCAACCCTTCGTGACCAAAAACACCCGACAAACGTCAGACACGAAGAGCAGGGAAGCTTGCAGAGTAGGCAACGTCAGCACGAGGCACATACAAGGCACAGCTGTAAACTTCATGCGTCCTCATGTACTGGACATGAAGGTATGTCGAGATTTTCTTTGCATCAGAAAATTTCGAAGTAAGTAGACGAACGTTAGGAACAGCGTCTTAACTTAAGGAAAATATGAGAAATCACTCTGACTTGCTTTATTATCAGCAAACAGGTGTATGTTAACATGTAAGCATCAAACGATGGTTGCAATATCCTGGGCATACAAAAAAAATATTTTGTCATGGTGAGTCGTGATAACTCGCTGAATTCGAAAATGGCTATAATGAAAGACAGCGCCGCATCCCTTCCATCATATAACACATTGATTATGTTGCATTAAAGATGGTCAACGCCAATCCCCCATTCATGATCTAAAGGTAAGGCCATGTTGATTTGATTATATGGATGACATCCGCGCGCGCATGAATTTTCGGCCGTTTCCAAAAAAAAAAAAGTTTTCAACCATACTGTAAATCGTACAAAACAGTTGCAAAATGAGCAAAAATATACCGTAAGTTACAAAAAAATAAGTGAAAACTATACCAATGTCGTAAGAATGACCAAAATCAAACGAAAAAAGACGAAATTGTAAGGAAATGAACTTGAAGATTAGATTATTCGCCAAACCATATTCTGTCC